TGAAAAATCATGTGGACGCTCTAGAGGCAAAAGTTAATATCCGATTGACTTTAAATTTACTTACAGTGTTTAAGGTCATGAGACGAAGAAGTCTATTTTCAGCGATTTTCGATAATTACTGCCAGAGTTATGGCCCTTGACCACTTCAAAGAATCTTGTAAGTTCTCTAGAGGCTAAAGTTAATATCCGATTGACTTTAAATTTATACACAGTGTTTGAGGTCATGAGATGAAGAATCATATTGATTATGTTATTTTTCATATTTTTATATTCATAATTCCTGTGCGATATTCAAATTCATGTCAGTTATATTCCTACAAAATTATGTGTTGTCATCATACAATTGAACAAAAGCGTGCCAACTACTGTTGAAATTTCAGCAGAAGTCCGCCATTCGTCTTACACTTTGTTTCGACTTCTATATTGATGGAGGTAAAAAAATTCTTTTGAAGTAACCGTCGCTCCAGGATACAGAGCAAGTGACATCTGATTGCACGTGCTATTGTGTAAAACAATTAACTACTTACGTGTACACTATTCCAATCGAAATATTTGTCGACATTTCTCAGTTTGTTTATTTCTTTTTTTTAAAAAAACATAAACCCCATTCAAAATATTATCATAAACCCAAGAATAAGCATCAAAATAGAATCGTTTCTCCAACATTTTCATGTGATGATTGTCACGTTTACATTTGTCGACATTTCTCAGCTTGTTTATTTCCTTTTTATACGCCCACATTTTCATGTGGACGTATATTGTCCGTCCGTCCACAATTTGTTTGTGGACACTCTACAGGTCACATTTCTTATCCGATTTTGACGAAACTTGAAATATAGGTTTATCTGCAAAAGATCTTGGTTGCTTTCGATATTGGCATGTACATGTATTGGATGGAAACTTCATGGATTATGGCCCATGTTTGTACGAAAAATCCTGTTTTTAGTTTGTGGACCCTATAGAGGTCACAATTTTAATCCTATTTTGATGAAACTTGAAATGTAAGTTTATAACCCAAAGATCTCAGTTTCTTTCCATATTTGCGTATATCGGACCGTAACTTCCTGAATTATGGCCCCTGATTGTATGAAAATCGTATTTTTAGCTTGTGGACCCTATAGAGGTCATAATTTTTATCCAATTTGAAAAACCGTTTCCTTTCGATATTCGTGCATATATCTGACCGTAACTTCCTGAATTATGGCCCCTGATTGTACGAAAAATAGCGTTTTTAACTTGTCAACCCTATAGAGGTCATAATTTTTATCCGATTTAAAAAAAAACGTTCGAATATATCACCATTACACCCTAAGAATAGTTGAGTTCGAATTTCGTAAATATCGGATTAAAACTGACAGACAAAATAGTGTAAAAATATGGTATATCAATGTTGTGGGCCCTATTTTGATGAAACTTGAAATGTAAGTTAATAACCCAAAGATCTTGGTTCCTTTCGATATTCGACATATCGGATAGTAACTTCCTGAATTATGGCCCTTGATTGTACAAAAAATCACGATTTTAGCTTGTGATCCTTGTAGAGGTCACAATTTTTATCTAATTTAATAAAAATGTGTGAATATATCACCATTACACACTAAGATCATGGATCCTTTTGATAATCACGGATACCCTAACTTAACTTCCTGGATTATGGCCCCTGATTGTTCGAAAAATGGCATTTATAGCTTGCGGATTTTTTTCCGATTTTAAAAACCGTTTAAATATTTCACCATTCCACCATAATGAAGGTTGAATTCAAATTTCGGGAAAATCGAAATGAAACTGCCTAACAAAATGGCCGCTCTTTGTACGCAAATTGTGTAAAAGTATGCTGGATTGAAACTTTTGTTTTTGGTTATTGTATTATAACCTTGTGTGTGTGTATGTGTGACAAGTTAACGGATATAATAGGACATTTGACATATCTTGACTAGTTTCTACATGTTGTCGACTGACATCAAGGAGATTAAAATTTCAGACAATGGAGAAACATCCGTGTTAATCACATAGATTAAGTTTATATTCACTCTTATTGGATTGATACATAGTCCAGCAAAGGAGGAGCAGTGACTTCTGTTCAGGATTGGATTGATGAACTGTCGTCCGACAAAGGATTAAGTAAGTCAATCAAGGCAGATTAAGAAGTTAATCAAGGTAGGCATATAGACGGTATCACACGGTAAATACGTTGATCTCTTAATTACTCTCAATCCAGACTATTATCAACGATAATCGGTTTGAGTGGAAGATATACACTCGGTACACTATATTAATTTTGAAATTCTGAATATTATTCACCATGTCTTGATTTCCTTGTCGGACAATTTAGGACTTTCGGAAAATAGCGTCGGACATGTCTGGAATATACGGGCGAAATCTTATCACTGATACCAGATATGCATTGATACCATATAGGAGAAAATTAGTACACTTTTCAACTAGGTTGACTCCCGTGGGCTTGTGCTCTATTATGTCGTGATTTTAAGTTAGGAGACAGAGATGGCTGTCCTAACTTCAAATTAATTTTAGTTAAAATTGTCCTGAAAATGATTTTTTGAAACCCCACTATTTTAAGTTAAGATAAAATTTGAACTTAAAATTATAAAATATTATTTTAATGGATTTTAGCTAAAATGCTTAAAATCGTTTTGTGAAACTCACCTATCTTAAATTAGGATGAAATTTTAGTTTTAGTTTAAGAAGATTTTAAGGAAATTTAAGTTTTTGTGAAATCGGGGCCCATGTAGACAATACATGTATATATAATCCTTGTTCATAATTAAAACTGATAATAAGTCAGTACATATGATAAGCCTACTGGATCTTTTATAACATTCACTTTCTAAATATATTTATTGTCGCCCATTTTCAGACAGTGTTATCAGAATTCACGAAAAATGGTTTCATTGTCTGGTTGTCGGATTAACTGTTGACACTTGAGAAATTGTTTTATTAGATATTTGTTTATTTACAATAACGCTGTGACAATATGGACTAAATTTCTTTAATTTAATATTTTCACAGACAATAATCTGTCAACTTCTTTATATTTCAGCCGACTATTTTCCGCACAGGACGTCTATATTTATGCGCAGTGTATATGGGAAAAACTCTGTGATTCTTCTGCAGAAAAAAACACTAAGGACCTGTTTCATACTTTTACCTGACCTGTACTGTAGGTTTATATCCCAAAGAACTCGGATGGGTTATTCAGTGCTTATCACAGAGAAACACTACATGAGTACTTGATTACTTCCTGCCACCCAAACTTTTTGTGAGAGTAAATTTACACAATTATATCATAATTACCATTGAATTAGAATTTCTTGAAAATCGGACCAAAACTTTCCATCAAAAATGGCTGCTCCTATTTTCGCAAATAGTGTAAAAGCATTTGATTCGAAGGTTAGGCTAGTTCCCAAAAACTATGTAATAGCCTTTGAATAAAGACACTATTTTTTAGAACTGAGCCTTTGTCAGCATGTGTATGATACTCAAAATTCTATCGGTAAATCTTGAATCAGTTTTTCACTGATTTTCTTTTCAAATTTGATGTGAAGCATTGGGACAATGAGTGTATGAGCCAGGGCTTCCACTTCAACATGATATATTAGTATTAGTAAGGCTTATGATAATTATTTATTAAATAAATATTCCCTTTTGGCTACTTAAATAATCAAAATAGCTGAATTGGCTGTAGAAAAACCATTCCAGTAGCTCACATGTAATTACCACATGCTCTATAGAAAACACACTGACCTGAATAATTTTGAGTTGTAATACAATAACTTCGAAATGAAAATAAATATATACATGTAATTATCCACTTCATATATCTCACATTTATTGATTTTAGACCATCTCTTACAGCATTAAGGACCACAGAATTGTGACATAAGTCCTAAAAATGAATAACTCATGGATAAATAACTTTACAGCTAGCGACACTAGCGCCCCCTAGAATATTGTTGTGTATAAGAGTAACCATATATCCGTAACATTTTTGCAACACATGGAATTATCAATATTGCTACACAGTAGCACTGGAATACATAATTTTCTTAATGTTTCGGTAAGCAAGTTATAACTAATCTCTAGATTTTCTACAATTCCCACAAGACCGTAATACCGCTATCAAAAAAATATAATGCATTTTTCTCCCAACACGTACATAATGTCTATGCTGTTTTTATTTAATATGACAGTTGGTTGGATTTGAAGAGCAGTGCTTCATATCAATTGCTCTTTTTTCGAAGATCATAATAATCTCGTTTACATCGTGCGTGACCGTAATTGCATTAAACGGCTTTGTTGTAGAAAATTCTTATGACTTGTGGACAATATGGGAGTGCTCAAATAGTGATGATTAACAATGGACCGCTTCACGCCATTGATAAGATTCCCACACATCAATTAACTTTTATTAATTATCAACACAACACTCAGTATAATCTGTTAACGACTATGTATACAACTCTATAACACCAATCACAAGATTATGTGTACATTATTCTGTACTGGCCGTACAATTGTATAGTTATATAGTGGAGGTCGATCGTAGCCATTTAGGCACTTTGATAAATTTCTAAAGTTATCAGTTTGGCCTCAATTTTAATTTCATTTTGAAGAGCTTGTCACACAGATTACAGAACAGTTTAGTTTTTCAAAATCGAAGCAGGGGTTAATGTTCTACAGTTATTTTTATTTCGCTAATTAGGAGGCAAGTCGTTAATGACAATTACAGTTAAAACAGTAGAAAAACTGTGATTAATTTCAGTGATTTTTAATGAAAACATGCTGTAAGTTCCATTTAAGAGGCTCCAAGCACTAACAGTAATGATATTCTTGTCCTCTTAGATATTGCCATTCATTTTTAATAATGACCTTGACCTTTCAGAAAGAAGTTGACCTTGACCTTCAACCTCAAAGGTCGGAAGGTCACTGGGGCGGCGCAGACTCCGCAAACTGACCAAGCCCGAACTATGGCATGTAGCATATCAAAATTTAGGGAATTGCACACAGATTCCAAATCTACAAAGAAAGAAGGGATTATATAACCTTCAAGAGACTGCTGACCTGTTAAAGTGTAGATTGATCTTGATCATTTTCTGTATCCTGATGATCAGAAGGGAAATACATACTTCATACTTCATCCAATCCTTCATCCAATTTCAAAATAATAATTTCAGTCAGTTTACATCGATGCTGAATGACAGTTCCACAAGAATAATGTCCTAAACCTAAACAAGTCAGATTTCAGGGCTTTCTTCAACTTCCTAGCAGTATACAACACCAGCCAGATGGAACAAGACGTGGAGACGATTTCCCACATACCTCACAAACTGAGCAGACCTGATGTTATGTGATTTTATGAAAAGTTTGAAGGCACCAGGGTCTCCTTTCCCTTGTTTGTATCGCATCTTACTCACACCATATATTAGATTTGCAGCCTTGCATGCCTGCCCAAAAGTGGAGCTCACAATTTTGAACTTTGCATCACATTCTTTCAAAACTGACCGAGCCCTACTAGCTATCCCGTCAACTGGGTGGAGGGTGCAGTTGAGCTCAAGAATGGCAATATCAAAGTCTTTAATTAGCTGTTCTACAACACAGTGATTAACAGCTACCGGGTCTGTTATCGTATTCTTTAAATGACTTATCACACGCTCTTTGAGTTCCATGTGATCCTTCTGAAAACACTTAGCATAAGATAATGTCACATCATTAATGCTTTCCTTGATATGTTCAAGGTAGTCACCAGTAGCTCCCCCACCTAGGACAGCAATTTGGAGAATCAAACCACGAGGTGGTGTTGAGGGCAGGTTGACATGCACTTCGTTTATGTGGTCACCATCCAAACTTGTGGCATCCATACTCAAAGTCAAGTTATCATTGCTTGTCATCTCTTCAGCTACTTGGATGTCAGACAAAACGCCCATCTCATAAGCCATCTGGCTGAAGGTGGATGGTTCAGGAACCATGTCAAGGGTTGCACCTGTAAGACTCTTGATGACACCTTTCAAGACAGTCCCAATAGTCTCAACGCGAACTTGGCTTTCTAGACATGTGTATGCTGCCTTTCTAAACCCAACACTGTATGTTTTTAAGTTATCCTTAGCAAAAATCACATTACTTGCACAACTGCCAGACACTTCGTCCAACTCACACCTCAGCCCATCTATCTCTAAACCGAGAGCAGAATTTTTCTTTTCTAACAAACTTTTATCCTTGGTAAGATGCTCTATTTCATTTTCTAATTTATACTTCTCAAAATTTATTTTAGATCTTGATCGTTTCAAATTGGCTGATTCATTTCTCAGAAAATTCACTTTCTGTAGCTTTATTTGTGTTTTCAAGTTTTGAAATTTTTTTGCAGAGATCAACCTCTATTGTTTTTAACTTGCGTCTATCCTGTCTTAATCTAGTTTCTACATCTACCTTGCGTGAAATTGCTTGTTTTAATTTTCGATTTTCATGAGACAAATCTTCCTTTTGAACCACATCGGAAAGGTTCCTAAGAAATTTAACTTTTTTGTTTCGTTTGACCAAACCATCCAATTTACTAGTATTGAGAAGGCAGTTATGTTGTCCACAGTTCCCTGACTCTGGCCGGATAATAGTCTTTTCCACTGTCACTGCAGACATGGCCTGTGTTTCCTCCCCAACAGATAATTCCATTTTATTGACTTCTTCCTCCATCGAGTCTACTTCCATAGCCTCAGGTTTATGCAATGGAACAACAATTTCCATTTCAAGGAACGCCACAATACTGTCCCAGTCACGATCAGGTTTGGTACTTTTGGATTTTAAATCTCTCACACACCTCTGTACCACAGCTGAGAGGGCTGAAACATTGATATTATTTACCCCATTCTTTTGATACAGTTCGTTCAATTGAAGAGCTGAAGCCTTAAATCCTTTTTTTGATTCAGTCTTGTCATAGATATAATGAACGAATCCTTTCCGGAAGTCAGGACCATTTCGAAATAGAAAGGTATTTTCATTGATAGTGTTTGCAACAAGTGACCTTACATCTTCCTTTATTTTCTTCATCTCAGACATCTGAAAAAGGTAAGAGAGAAAAACAATCAGCCATGAATAACATCAAAAGTCTGTTAATATTACCTGAACAGTGCTAAAACAGTTATCATTAACAGTGGGAAATGTTTAAATTTGAGGATCACCATAAGAAAACCAAAAATAAATACTTACAAGAGAAAACATAATGAAATCTTTAAATTGGTGTAAACCAAGTATTGTTTTCTGTTTAACCTTAAAATATAATACATTTATTGTCATATAGCTAATTAAATAAAAGCATAAGCATCTAAACCTTTAGACAATTATAACCAAAAATAAATACTTACAAGAGAAAACAGAATTAAATCTTTAAATTGGTGTACTGTAAACCAATTATCTTTTTCTGCTTAACCTAAAAATATAATACATTTATTTATAAACATAGGTAAATAGATAAAAGCATAAAGGTATAAATCTTAAGACAACTATATACAAAAGAAAATTACTTAAAAGAGAAAACAAAATTCAAGCTTTAAAATTTATTAATTGAGTTGACTTCAAGTTTTGTGTTAACATGTAAAAGAGAGGGGGATAAATGATAACTGATGTGAATATCTAATTTAAAACACATATCTGACAATCAAGCCTCTAATATTAAACAGTAAAAAAATTAAATGATGATACTAAATTTTAAACATTATACACTGCAATTAATTTGGGTATGTGGAAAGGCTAGATATCTATCATAAACAAACAGACCACGAGCATTTGTTTTCAAAATAAATTGATTCGACACATCAGAACAGCGCATTCCGGTCGGCGTTCCAGAATCTGAATCGGTACCGTGAATAATCGCTCCAATCCTTCAAGCAAATACATTAATTTCATCATCAAACATAAAATATAGTATCTAGACATATTAATTCAGTGTATTTTTGGGTTATTTTACATTAGAAGGAGAAAATTTGACTTCTGTAGATGATTTGACGTCACCAACATTTTTCCGATTCGGGGCCACTTCACGCGGTGTATCCATTATAGCACTTCATAGGAAAGCATGAGCGCGATGAGGTCCTGCGTTCAAACTTCGTCCCAGTGGAGATTAGAAGCCTAACAATACATTTAGAGGGGTTTTAAATGAGTTTGGGGGGTGTGGGGTCGATAATAATGGGGTTGAAACTTGCCTTTTTTCACGAAAAATCCAACTTTTTTGATAAAATTCGGAAAATATCCGGACAAAGTTCTCAGCATTTAGAAACAAACAGACGACAAAATGGTGACGATGTGCTTCCCTTTATTATGCGCAGGTCCATAAAAACCCACATTTGCGCAGCGCTATTTGGCAGACCTTACAGAAGGCGTGACGCGTTCCTGGTCAACACTGACGTAACGTTACGTCGCGCGTATCGAAGTGGCTACCATGTTTGAAAATTGGGTTTTCAAAAAAGGCTCTTTTTCCGGCGTGCAAAATGACCGATTGGTTAGATCTAGTTATACGGCTGATGTGGAACCCATGGTATGGGCTGTATTGTTTCGGCCCATTCCCTATCCATCTCTTGCAAAATGGGGGCATATCTTGCATGTGAACACGATAGGGGCTATAGATTTTTAGTGGAATTCTTTTAAATTTGGAGGGAAGCATTGGAGTAATGAGAGGATGAATCCTACCGATATTACCCTAAGCGTTGTGCGACTTGCTGTTCCATAGTCATCAAATTTTTGCCATGCGGATAAGCTGCTGAGACAGAGTTGCTGTGTGGGTGTATTGGCTATCTTATGTAGATTTGTTTATCTGTTGCCAGTAGCCATTATTTGTATGACCTTTGAAACCAATTCTTTTCATGTGTAGATATTAAAAAGTTCTGATAAAGGCCAGATTATTCTTGATAAAGGTGGTTTATCAAAGAGAGAAGCACCACAGAGAAAGTCTGTGAGAGAGTTGGCTAGTAATTTCCGAGACTTTGCTCCAATGGGTTTAGCTGGACCACCTCCAAAGAGGAAGGGTAAGATGATCAATCATGATTTATATTGTAAATTTACAAGTATATATAATATATTTAGTGGAAACCTAATTTCATAGGCCACATTTTTATACGCCAATATTTTCATGTGGAAGTATTATGCCGTCGCCCCTCTCTGTCAGGACGTCCGTCCGTCCGTCCACAATTTGTTTGTGCGCACAGTTCACAATTTTTATTCGATTTTGACGAAACTTGAAATAGAGGTCTACCATATTTTTCGGTGCATTAGGCACACATTTTTTACCAAATATTTTATTTTCTAGAAGGAGTGCGCCTAATACATAACGTTAAGCGAATCTAGGCTTTTCCTGTGTCGACACTGAAGTCTGGAGTTCAAGAAATAACTGCCCTAGAATCAACACATGTCGACCAACCGGGTGACGCTACCTCAAAAGTTTATGATAAATTATCACTCAAATTAAACACAATATTGTTCCCTTTCGTGTCCATTTATATTTGTCAGTAATGTTTTAGATAGTTTAAAATTGTCCATATTTGTCAATAACCTTTAGATACGGTTAAAATATGTCAATAGTTATCGCCCGTATTTCTGTTATTTTGTGCATAAAAAAAGATGTTGACATTTTAGGCTATCCCATGTACAGTATAGTGTTTGTCATAACCGGCAATGCAAAAAATAGCATACGTATCGTTAATATTACTTGTTAATTCTACATCATATATTTCTGCTATTCCGTATACTCTTGGCCATTACCGGCAGTCCTTGCACGTCCCCGTTCAAGGTCAGTGGTGTTGTCAGTCAAGTTAATGAATAGGGCGGGATATGCATTCATACAAGCATTTTCATTGGCTCAAAATATAAGTCATTGGTAGTAAGGGTGGGATTACAGTTAAACTGACATATATTGAAGTTGTTCTCTTGTCTACGATATCACACCTGGTGGAAGTGGACGGTAAACTCCAGAAACGATGACGATGAAGTTGTTCTGTCTAACCTATTCACGAAACGGCAAATCTTCACGACGTCTTTGATTGACAGTCAACCAATTCTTTCTCAATTTGTGGATAACATGCAGCGCTCTATCTATTCGCTTCTTTATTTGGTTTATGTCTCTAAGTTCCCAACTCGTCATTGCCGTCTTACGTTCGACCCGCGACACTATTACTGCACTCTTTAGAGGTTCGTCTCGTAGTCATTCTGAATAAATAATTTGTCAAAAATTTGATGGAAGGTTCGTTGGTATTTTCTATACATTGCTGTAACTTATATATCTAGCCGTTTCAAGTTACCGATAGTTTTCATGCAACAAAGATTCACTGATTGATCCATTGTTATAATTTACCGGTATGGCAGTATCGTTAATTATCTACCGGTGAGTTGTCATCGTATATGCTTTATGAAGTTGTTTGTAGTTCACAAAATCATTGTTTCTTTGATTGGTATTAAAAATCCTATTTTCTTATATTACTGATAGATATGAATGGCCTCAATCTAGGTATTGTCATGCCTAGTCGGCGGGGCAATTGACACAATCGTTTGATTGTCAGTTGTTTGGATAGTATATAATAAACTAGAATTATTGTTTCTCTTTTTACCAGTAGTCAGGATTTAAGCCGTGAGTAGCTGATCATGATAAATTATTTCTACAGTTATTATTTCATTTGTTTATCATCAATACCTATTCATTTATCATAGCCAATCGCTCGTGAATTTAACAGGATGTAATAGACGGCCATGTTTGTTGTGGGCGGGACTAACGACAATTTGACTACCGTATAAGCGCCAGAATTACCATTTAAGTTATGAAACAATTCAATTGAAAGTTATAATTAATATAAAGTCTTATGCAATTCAAAAAATGTATATAGAGTTTTATTTCATAAAGAAATATATATAAAGCTTGATACAGCTAAATATCGGTAATCATTATAACTGTAAACAGTAGAGTTTGGCCCAGTTACTGGAGATCGCAGGTGTATTTGAATCACGTATGGTATGGCACGTGTTTCACAAGGCGCTGGAGAAGGGTGCGTCTAAACCATGCATTTTTATTTTTTCCTGAAACACC